AAACGACGGTGGGCAATGTCAAGATCAGTGCAATTTGAATCCAAACATTCAGATTTAAGTAATTTCAAAATAGTAAGTGGAATCGAATATAATTTAGTACGTATATGGTGTGGCCCTAGTGGTTCTTGGATAATTTCCAAAAGGGCATCAAGTGAAATCGTGCTGAGCTTGGGTGGTGTGTAGCGACGATGTCCATGACTGCGTTTTCGACAAAGAAACTTTGGGAATAACATCATGACATTAACATTGCTACACGCAGGGCTAGACAAATTTCCAATACTAGCTACATTGTCATTGCATCCGTAAGGGGTGGCAGTACCTAATGTACGTATCCAATATTCCTCCCGGCTTCTGCGAAAGTTGGTATGGTGGTAAATTTTCTCTAATATAGACACCCTCAAAGATAGTACAGAGTGGTCAGATTGGTTAAAATGCCTATAAAGAATCTGGTTACTACCCTTATTAATATTGTGACGATGACCGTTAATGCTTAAATGTAAAGGTCCTTTAGTTTCGCCAACATAAACCAGTCCGCAGAGTGTACATTCTATACCGTAGATAATATTGGAGGTTTTACAATTTAGTTTCTCAAACCCTTGTTTATGACTCAAATATCTTTCGATATTCGTGCATATCGGATCGTAATTTCCTGAATTATGGCCCCTGATTGTACGAAAAGTCACGTTTTTAGCTTGTGGTCCCTCTAGAGGTCACAGTTTTTATTCGATTTAAAAAAACGTTTTTGTATATCACCATTACACCCTAATGATGGTTGAGTTGGAATTTCGTGAAAATCGAACTAAACTGACGGACAAAATGGTCGCCCCTTGAACGCAAACAGTGTAAAATATGGTATATCAAGGTTGTGGACACTTTAGGGGTCACAATTTTCATCCGATTTTGATGAAACTTGAAATGCATGTTTATAACCCAAAGATCTTGGTTGCTTTCGATATTCGAGCATATTGGAACGTAACTTCCTGAATTATGGCCCTTGATTGTACGAAAAAACGCATTTTGAGCTTGTGGTCCCTCTCCAGGTCACAATTTTTATCCGATTTAAAAAAAACTTTTTAGTATATCACTGTTACACCCTAATGATGGTTCAGTTAGAATTTCTTGAAAATCGGACCAAACATCTGGTATATCAAGGTTGAGGACCTCCTAGAGGTGACAATTTTGATCCGATTTTGATGACACTGGAAAATAGAGAATCTCCAACCAGTCTTTTTTGATATATCATTATAGAGCCCTGCGACTATTTAATTGCACGAACCGGTTATTAAAACTATCCCGACAATGATCTCCATACCGGAAGTATTCAAAAAATGAAAAAAAGGTTAAAAAGAATTGGCCCTATTGCAAAAAACTTCATTTCTCCGTCGGATATTAGCGGACCAAAAGAACTACTGTTGATATCCACATTAATGAACTATCATAAGACATCTAAAATGATACGATTTCGATGGTTACAAAATAAATTATGGTACGCTGAAAATGTAGTATTTTCCGTTTTAGAGCCTTTTGAGACGCCTTTTCTTACTCAGAATCCTATCGGTGGTCTAGGGTGTGAATCCAAAAATAAAAGCACTGAAATAATATATTTGAAAAAAGTTGGAAAATCGTTAAATTACTGAAAATGCTCTAATATTTTTTTAAAAAACAGCTCAATGGATGTTTCTGAAACATCTGGTACAGACAGTTAAGTATCCAAACAACTTGTTAAAACTATCCCGACAATGATCCAAAAACCAGAAGTAGTCGAAAAAATATCCGATATTTTGAAAAAAAAAGTAAAAAAAATATGGCGATCTTGCCAAAAAGGGATTACTACGCCAGATTTCACTAAATCAAAACAACTAAAGTGTCATTGAATAGCCCGAATAATGGACGATCTTATGACATCCAAATGACACAAATTCGATGCTTAAGCCAATAAATAGATTATGGGACGCTGAAAATCTAGTATCTTCCTTTTTGGAGCCTATTCAGATGCTTTTATCTCGAAAACTATTCTTATTTCTTTTCTTAAACTTCTGTTACATAGAGTCCTATCGGTGGTCTAGGATGTGAATCCAAATTTCAAAGCCTCAATATGGTACAAAGGGTCGCAAAAGGGTCCCAATCATTGAAAAAAGTCGAAAAGTTGTTAAATTACTGGAAATGCTCTTCTAATATTTTTTATTAAACTGCTGAATAGATGTTTCTGCGGAAGTAGTAGGAAAAAATATTTGATTTTTTGAGAAAAAAAAAACAGTAAAAAATAGGTGCTCTTGAGAAAATCGTGATTTCACCGTCGGGTATCACCGGATCAAACAGCCAAAGTATTGTTTGGTAGTTCGTTGAATGGGCTATTGTATCACACTCTTCCTGTCTGATTCCTGAAAGCCGCTTCAGTGCTGCTTGCAGGTGAAACACTATTGTTTTTGTTAAGATGTTTATTAGGGTTTCACACTGGTCCAGTTGACATGGAATGACCCAATTAAAAGCAGAGTTGTTATGTTCCAAAGTCTTGACCAATCAAATTGCTTATCGCTCCTTAGCCTATGCAGAAAATTATCATCATTGAATTTAGTCAAGGTAATGAAATAATGAATCTATACTCGGAGTTTCATCACTCTCACTTAATTAAAACCAAAGTTATCGTGCCCCAAAGCATCAAACAATTAGATTACTTATCTCTGCTTACCGTAAGCAGACAATGTTTATCATCGAACTCCATCAAGGCATTAACCTAATGAACGTCTACACCAAGTTTGAACATTCTCCCTCAATTAGAAGGGGAGTTATTGTGTTCCAAAGTATTGACCAATCAAATTGCTTATCGCTCTGGTTACCCTGAGCAGAAAATGCTCACTATCGAACTTAGTCAAGGTGTTGATGTGATAAAACTATACACCATGTGTCCCCACTCTCACTTAATTAGAACTAATGTTATTTTGGTGTCCCAAAGCATCAACCAATCAATTTGCTTATCTCTGCTTACCCTAAGGAGAAAATGCTCATCTTCAAACTCAATCAAGGCATCAACCTAATAAACACCTACACCAAGTCTGAACTTTATAGCTTAATTAGAAGTAGAGTTATTCAATTGTGTTCTAAAGTCTCGGCCAATCAAATTGCTTAGCGCTCTGCTTACCCTGAGAAGAAAATGCTCATTATCGAACTTAGTCAAGGTATTGATATAATGAAACTATACACCAAGTTTCATCACTCTCACTTAATTAGAATTTAAGTTATTGTGTCCCAAAGCATCAACCAATCAAATTGCTTTCATCAAGGCACTGACCTAATAAACCCCTACACCAAGTTTGAACATTCTAGCTCAATTAGACGGAGAGTTATTGTGTTCCAAATTCTCAGCCAATATAATTGCTTATCGTTCTGCTTATCCTGAGCAGAAAATGCTCATTATCAAACTTAGTCAAGGTAGTGATGTAATGAAACTATACACCAATTTTCATCACTCTCACTTAATTAGAACTAAAGATATTGTGTCCCAAAGTATCAACCAATCAAATTGCTTATCTCTGCTTACCCTTAGCAGAAAATGCTCATCTTCTAACTCCATCAAGGCAATGACCTAATAAACACCTACACCAAGTTTGAAAAATTCTAGCGCAATTAGAAAGATAGTTATTGTGTCCCAAAAATGTGTGACGGACGGACGGACAGACCCATTTTAATAGATAGGTGGCCAGGCAATGAAACATACGCTAACAGCAGCTAAAATATACGAGCAGTCGACAAGGGTTGTCGCATATTTATTCTTTTGTAGGGAATTGGGGGCATTTATAAGACAACTTCATACAGAGCAGATTATAATGGGGTTAAACGTCCACTCCACACAAACTAGGTCATTTCGGGACTAACACATGGTTCAATTTATTTCAATAATTTGCTTGCGTGTAGGGGTATTTAGCAGTGGGAGGAAACCAGAGAAAACCCACGAGGTTGGACAGGCGACCCTACTCCTTGCCACATACAACCGGGGAATCGAAACCACACCAGTTGACTTAATGACAGACCTTATGTTACAGCGCGCACGTGCTAACCATTTGGTCATCTTCCCCCCCTTTGTCATTCGAACGTTCACAAGGTTTACAAAGTAAAACAAGGGCCATAACTCTAGAAATAATTGATGGAAATTGCTGAAATGCAATAGACCTCTGTTTTACAAATTCAAATGGTGCATATAAATTTCATACACATCTGATGATAACTTTCATCAATTCAGCATTAAAAAGGTTGAACAAAGTGAAACAAGGGCCATAACTCTAGAAGTAATTATTGTAAATTGCTGAAATTCAATAGGCTTCGTGGTTTCACTAATCTAAATGATGCATTTAAATTTCATACAGATCGAATGATAACTTTTGCCATTAGAGCGTTCACAGGGTTCAACAAATTGAAACAAGGGCCATAATTCTAGACATAATAAACAGAATTTTGCTGAAATTCAATAGGCTTCTTCGTTTTGCTAATTTAAATAATACGAATAAATTTCACAAAAATCAGATGTTAACTTTTGGCCATAGAGCATTCACAAGGTTCAACAAAGAGAAACAAGAGCCATAGGCTTCTTCATCTCACTAATGTAAACAAAATGTACCAATTTTAAAACGATCGGATCATAACTTTTGGCATTAAGAGTGTTCATACAAGCATTAACATGGTTGAACAATGTGAAACAAGGGCCATAACTCAAGAATTAATTATTGTAAATTGCTGAAATTCAATAGGTTTCTTCGTTTTACTAATTTAAATAATGCATATAAATTTCACAAAGATCAAATGATAACTGTTGCCGTTAAAGCGTTCACAAGGTGCAACAAAGTGAAACAAGGGCCATAACCCCTGAAGTAATCAGCGGAAATTGCTGAAATTCAATATTAATAGGCTTCTTCGTTTCACTAATTTAAAAAATGCATATAAATTTCTAAAAGATCGGATGTTAACTTCTGGCGTATAAAAATGATGAAAACAGCAAATAGACTTACATATTGTGTAAAGTTTCTTTTATCTGTAGGCATTTTAAATGCTGTTGGTATAAAATCCATCTTTGTTGCAGCTAAACTGGCTTTATTTGTGATATAACCAGAACCTGGAAAATGGTTCACCTAAAACAACATCTCTTATTAGTTGAACAAAATATAAGAAGTGTCAGAAGAATAATTGTAGACGTGTTCTATAAAGTCGTTGTTTCCAACTCTTTTCCACTTGTGGGCCCTCCACATCTCCATTTACTCTTTTCAGTCAGATTTGATAAACCCTAAACTGGGCCATCTTACTCTAGAAAGTTGAGTAATGTAACAAACATGCAAGCAACAACATGTATTTTGATAACATCATGCATTCCTTGCGGTTTGATATACACCAAATTCAACCTCGTCCAAGATCTTTTGATCCTTCACATATATGTTAAGTTACATCTAGAGGGTCCACAAACTTCACATTTTGCATAAAAGGCAATACACCTGTGACATTTTGTAACCGAAAGTCAGATTTTTGTTGCTTTTTTTGTAAGAGCAATGCCAAATAGCTCAATTGTAACTCTCTACGACAAAACAAGTCAAATGTGTCAATCTGTGATTTATAGCTCAGCTTAAACAGCATTGAGAAATCTGTTTTTTGATAAAGTAAAACAAGAAAAATCAACATAAATTTGATTGAGCTAAGAACGTACAAAGTTTCCACGACTTTCTGTTCCAGACACATATCTTGTGCCTGGAAAAGCTTGTGAACACGACAGTGTTCAGAATTCTTGAATGCATAAAGTTCATAAAGGACCCTTTTCAATTTTGATCCACATTCAAGTTTTCCTTTTGGATAAAGGTGCTGTCTATGACTTTTTTTTTCGACACATACTCGCTGTGCGGGCATATTTCCACGCTTTGTGTGGCTAGCTATCTACCTGTGGTTCATGGTGTAGAAGGCTGTGAGATTTGTTACCGTATTTTTCAGTGTATTAGGCGTGTGCGTAGATAGGGTGCAGGGATAGTTTGGCAGAGGTGTTTCAGGAAAAAATAAAAGTGCATGGTTTAAGCGCACCCTTCTCCAGCACCTTGTGGAACATGTGCCATACCATATGTGACTCGAATACACCTGCGAACTCCAGTAACTGGGCCAAACTCTACTGTTTACAGTTATAATAATTACCGATATTTAGCCGTATCAAGCTTTATATATATATATTTCTTTATGAAACAAGCCAACAGTTAGGCTGATGTCCCCCGCCAAAATCCGAAAATAAATAGATGACACATATTAATTAATCACACATTTATTTTTTTTTCAAAAACATCGAGTAATCAAACTATACACTAAGTTTCATCACTCTCTATCAGATAGAATCAAGATCATCTTGTCCCAAGGCATCGACCAATGAAATTAATTAGCTCTGCTTAGCTTTAGCTCGAAATGTTAATCATTGAACTCAGTCAAGACATTCACCTAATGAACATCTACATCAAGTTTAACCATTCTACCTCAATTAAAAGCAGAGTTGTCATGTTCCAAAGTCTTGACTAATCAAATTGCTTATCGCTCCTTAGCCTAAGCAGAAAATTCGCACCATCGAACTTAGTCAAGGTAATGATATAACAAATCGATATTCAGAGTTTCATCGCTCTCACTTCATTATAACCAAAGGCTTATCGCTCTGCTTACCCTGAGCATAACATGCACATTATCGAACTTAGACTTAGTCAAGGTAATGATGCAATGAAACTATACACTAAGTTTCATCACTCTCACTTAAACATACATTATGCAAGAGCTAAATCTGCCAATTGTAAGTCTTTATTTAGGCTTCAGATGTGTGACACTATTGGTTCTTTAATCAGGTTTTATTCTTCTTCTAACATATTATGGACAAAACTTAAAACTATGAATTAGCTTGTGTTGAGGGAGCCATGGCCCTAGCTTGGCACGAATGGGCCAACTCCCAACTAACTTACATTACATGGCCGTTGTCCGGTCTTAACTTCAGACCTGCGTGGCCTGTCCTGGCCGGACCTCTGTCAAATTCGTTTGTTCTCTGCCCTTGGCTTATAAACCCTTCCAGACAAAGGAATCTTATTAGACATCTGGCTGATGTATCATGTATCATATCAGGTTTAACATTTGTGACCCCCCATGGCATACTGAGTCGCAATGAGGAAATTTTGAAAATTGAGTTATTGTTATTTTCACATTCTCCGACTCATTACCTTCAATTTGATGTATAGTTTGTTTGAATCGGGCCAAAATTGACTGAGTTGTGACTGCTTAAAGCCACCCAACTCACCAAAGTAAGTTTTGAGAAAAATCAAGTTAAAGATTTGGTATGTTTCAAAACAAAATCACATAGCAACCAAGCCATTTATTTGCTGTTTTGTCGTTGAATATTGTTTTCTAGAGGTTTTCAGGGTTGCTGAAGACGAAAATTGTAGTAACAATTTGATCCGACAATTTCCGCCATCTTTTTTTTCAAAATGGACGCCAAAATGACAACAAATATTTATCATTTTACATATTCGATGATTTTATTGTCACTCATCAGTTATGGTCACACCTTGCAGGCTAGGGTATACCAATGAAACGACGGTATTCAACACCTCATGCTATCAAGTATAAGAAAAGAGAACAGTTTTCAAAAGACAACAGTATGCTAAAAACTCTCATAAATTTAATAAAATAATTATAATAACAAATTGTATTATAATGCATCACAAATTACTAGTATTTTTTTTAATAAAATATAATAACAAATGGAATAATACTCGCACTCGAAATAGGATGATTTGTAAAAGAAAAGTAACTCAAGCACTGGAAATGAGCCAGTTCATTTTGCTACGATACGGTGGGGTGCGGAATCATTTAGCTATTGGGTGTTATATATGATTACTAATTTAATGTTCCGCTGGTGGTGGAACAATATCACTGTTCGTGGTTTGACCGCGATTGACGATTCTAATTAAAAGAGTTGGTACTAGGCCTTATAATCAAAGATACATTATTAACATGGTTTGACTATACACCTTAATTGAAACTAGTTCCATTGTATATACTATGGAGTTTTCGTATGGCACGGTTACGATGCCAGTGTATTGAAAGCTGTAAACAAACGCTATTTACAGTGGATATAATAGCATTACGAGAATTTAATTTATTAATTCATCGGGCATGGGTGACTGTTTAACGTTGGAGAATGGAAAAGGGCGAGCTCTCAGTTGCAAATGCATTGAATGCACTGACATCTGCAGTTTTTAGAAAAAAGCAAGTTAAAGGTGTCGGTATGTTCTAAAACAATATCACACAGCAACCATGCCATTAAATCTTTCGTTATTTTGTCGTTTAATATTAATATTTTCTTCTTTAGATTTTCAAGGGTGCCGATAACGAAAATCGTAGTAAATGCGCTCTTTTCATAGTAAAACATTCACAACACATGCGGCATATTCACAATTCCAATGATAGCGTTATAATTTAGAACAGTGTATACATTAGTAGTCTAAGTATGTATATTATAACTTTGGTGAGATTAACTTCAGTTCAGTTAATCTCATCAATTATTTAGCACCTTGGTGCCAGTGGTCAGAAGATTAAAGTTGTTAATTGGGTAATCAAGTTTAGTAGCCTATCTTAATCATCAAAGAAGCCGCCACAGCAGCATGCCTGAATTAAGATTTTGCGTGTACAATAAGTCTATTGTTATTTTAAGCCTGAGGTACCGTAACGGTATCAAAATATGAGTCCATAATAGAATAGAAATCTCAATTTCATTGGCATGAAATGCTTACGTTCATTTTGGAAGGGGTGTAATTAAACAATGGCAGATTATTTTTCCCACTCGATAATCGTCGCGTTTCGACTCATTGGTCGTCCTCATTTTCCCGACCCATGGTGATAATAGAATTTTAAACAATAATAATATCCAATATGCATTCTTAACTTTGCATGCCGTATGAAGCGATAGTAAACGGAATTCACCTATCAATAAAATTCTCTTCGGAAAGAAAATTATTGGCTATTTTGTTTATTTCCATTTAAGGACAATAAATTATTTTCTAACAGACCAAACGAGACATTAAATCATCGCCGCTTTGATTAGTTATTCGGAGTAAATAATGAATTGTCGGTGGCCTTATCATTGTTAATTATCAATCAACTAATCATTAATCCGTGAGAAGTGATTACAGATTAGTATTACTCAATGATACGAACCGCTTGTTGATTGATTTACAATGTTTTGATTAACACTCAACGGCTATATATATACGATCAGAATTAATTTGTTGGTATCCGAGGAGCTTTTTATTTTGTGTTTTAAACAGTTTTCAAGCGTAAATAATTTAATTAAATCAACCTGTCCATAATATCATATTCATTGTATTGAACGTTAAATCTTTAATAAACAACAACAGTTGTTTTAGTGTATCGCATGTAGATACACCATAACATTGCCCAAATCTAATTTCTATCGTCTGCTTGAGCCTCGATGCGGCCACGGAACCACAATGCTTTGCAGGCGTCGTCTGGGCCAATCAGCAAACGAGTCGTGTTGGAAGCATAGCAACAAGCGGAGTATGTTTACATTTTTAGGAGTTTTAAAACCCTTTTGTATTTCTTCAAAATGAATTCATCGGCAATACTTTGGTCATATTTATAAACTAGAGATTCTCCGCTTTACAACGATGCCAAGCATTTTGCAAGAGGATTGACAGGTCGCCCCGCTGCGAGCAGAGAAAAATATCTAATTCCGCTGAGAATATTCAGAAAATGACAGATTTAAGAATACGGTACTCTTACAAAACGTCCAAATAAAGGCGTTTTAAAATGTTTTATTGCTATTTTGATCTTTTGAGTCGATAGATAGTATATTTATAGACTCATTTTTGTGAAAATCTCAATTTCGATCAAAATCAATATTTTCGCTTATTTTGTCTCTTGTGCAAAATTAATTTTGCCCCATTCCGACTCAATAACATGCGGTGGGTCACATTTGCTTATCATCAAAGAAAGTTTAAATAAGACATGCCAACAAGGTAAGGTTAACTAATCGTTACATAATCACATTGACCAAGAACTCCAGGAATGTCAATAGTGAACAGGTGTCAAGTTGGCAGGAAGCGTCTAT